AGCCTTGCTAATGCACCAAAGTGGGCACACTCCGTATTCTTCTGAAGGTGGATCAATGAAGTTTTCATCAGAGTCCTCATGTTTGTTGCTTTTTTTGCTCTCCATCTTCTGCAACCATATTCAGCACTTGTTCCAGTCAGATTGATTTCTCTTTTAAGAGAACCAACGCCACTAAAACACACAATACTATATGTTGGCTTCCTCCTGAGGCATACAACCATTCAGTCCATTAGGTGCTGGTTATATGCAGCTATTATGCAAATCAGCAAATATCATAAGGTTTCTATGCCTGTATAATAAGCTCAAAAATCACATGACAGCAGGTTATAGTCTAACAGGTTTATTTGGAGGCAAGACACCTGAAGAAGGAGCTCAAAGCTGGTGTCTCCAAATAAACCTGTTGGACTATAACCTGGTGTTGTGTGATTTTTGACCTTGTCCAACCCAGTCCAACATTGGCACCCCCACATCATGTACGAGAAGTGAAAGTAAATTGAGCATGGCAACAGCCACACATGTTTGGGCTTGGCCCAATTTCAAGGCCTTAACTTTATCCTTGTTCATAAAGTATTCATTGTAAATCATGACTTAGTTCTGAAATGACATAGCAAAGGAAATGAATATACAGCAACAATGCATTTTCATGAGAAGTTTACTAAATCAGGGTAAAATAGATGCCCTTTTATTTTGTTCCCTTTTTCGAGTTTTGGTCACCTGTATGTATATAAGTTTCTCATTCCTGGCTTGTGTGATTTAGCGTTGTAGCACCTTTACAGTGCCTAGCATCCAAACACATGATTGTCTGTCTTAGTTTTTAAAGAAGTAGTAAAACAAGCCAGTCAATTTTACTTATTGGAGGAACTTTTCTAGCAACAGAACCTTTTTAATTCAACTGAGAATATTCCTAAGAGTAATTAGCTTCTAATTGACTTTCAGTTTGTACAATCAAATCTTCCAGGCTTTAAGTTTTACAAAACTGCTTTTTAGGAAGATGATAGCTCTCTGTTACATAATAGATCACAACAAAACATGGCCAAAAAATGTCAGATCTGGGAATTACATGTTGCAGTGTGTGACATTTAGAAAAGATGGGGAAAACAGGATTTACATGTATTTGGAAAGGCAAGGACTGATTTAGGAATGGCCAAAATGGCTTTGTGTATGAGAAATCATATCTCGCCAACTTATTTTGAGTTTTTTTTTAAGTATAAAGAGGATTGAGGACAGAGTGGTGGATGTGATCTATATGGACTTCAGTAAGGTGTTTGACAAGGTTCTTCATGGTAGACTGGTTAGCAAGGTTAGATCACATGGCATACAGGAAAAACCAGTCACTTGAATATAGAAGAGAGAAGGTGGTGGTGGTGGTGGTGGAGGTTTGCTTTTCAGACTTGAAGGCTTGTGACTAATGGTGTGCCACAAGGGTTGGTGCTGGATGCACCTCTTTTCAGCATCATATAAATAATTTGGCAGTGAATATGGGAGGAATGGTTGGTAAGTTTGCAGATGACACCAAAATCGAAAGTGTAGTGGTCAGCGAAGGTGGTTACCTCAGAGTACAGCAGGGACCTGATCAGATGGACAAATGAGCTGAGGAGTAGCAGATGGAATTTAATTTAGATAAATGTGAGGTGCTGCATTTTGGAAAGGCAAATCGTGGCAGGACTTGTACAGTTAATTGTAAGGTCCGGGGAGTGTTGCTGATCAAAGAGACCTTGGAGTGCAGGTTCATAATTCATTGAAAGTGGAGTCACAGAATAGTGAAGAAGGAGTTTGGTGTGCTTGCCTTTATTGATCAGTACATTTGAGTACAGGAGTTGGGAGGTCATGTTGCACCTGTACAGGACATTGGTTAGGCCACTTTTGGAATACTGTTCAGTTCTGGTTTCCATTCTATAGAAAAGAAATTGTGAAACTTGTAAAACTTTTCTGAATCCTTTCAAGGATGTTGCTGGATTTGGAGGGTTTGAGCTATAGGGAGAAGCAGGAATAGGCTGCGGCTATTTTCCCTGGAGCATTGAAGGCTGAGGTGTGACCTTAGAGGCTTATGAAATCTTGAGGGGCGTGGATAGGGTGAATAGTCAGGTCTTTGCCCTCGGGTGGGTAATCTAAAACGAGGAGGCATTGGCTTAAGATGAGAGGGGAAAGACTTAAGAGATCTAAAAGGGCAACTTCTTCCACACAAAGGGTCGTGCGTGTATGGAATGAGTTGCCAGAGGAAGTAGTGGAAAGGTGGTACAATTACAACATTTAAAAAGCATCTGGATGTGTATATGAATAGGAAGGCTTTAGAGGGATATGGGCCAAATGCTGGCAAATGGGACCAGATTAATTTAGGACATCTGGTCAGCATGTACAGATCTATGATTGTATAACTAACGGTGGTGGGGGGAGGTGGTAGAGTAGCTTTCTTTTATTTTTGAGATAACAATGGCAATAGGGAAAAAAGATGGAGCTTTCAGCAATGCAAAAATAGAATCCATGTGGATAAAGATAAATTGATGACAACCAGATGAATAGATTGAAAAAGATCATTTTTTAAGGGGATGAGAATAGAACTTGGGCAAATAAAATGGGCAATAATATTGGCAAACAATGATGTAGAATGACAATAGTCAATACCAAGGCGGACCCACAATAAATTATGTGGGACCACTGGATATATTACTATGGGCAGGCTAATTGGGAGAAGGGGGAGAATTAAAATTCAGACTGCACCATAGCAGCTGGTGGAATTTAAATTAGTTAGCTAAAACCTGGAATAAAAGCTAATCCTTGTGATGGTGGTCATTAAACTATTGCTCCACATGGCCCCTGTGGAGAAGAAAACCTTCCATTCTTACCTGATCCGTCCTTCACGTCTTTCCAGACCCAGAGCAACCTTGCCAGCGATGCTTATATCTCATTAAACAATAAATGAAAATAAAACAAATGGGCAAATATTTAGCAAGTAAAGCACAGTATTTAAAATTTGTGGTAATAGGTTTGGTAGAAAGAATAGAAAGGTCACTTGGAAAGTGCAAGTCCAGCTGTGGTAAGGAATAGAGATCTTGACAGGCGGCATGCTGGCTCAGTGGTTAGCACAGCTGCCTCACGGTGCCAGGAACCCGGGTTCAATTCCAGCCTTGGATGTCTGCCTGCCTGCCCGCCCGCCTGCCTGCCTGGAGTTTGCATGTTCTACCCGTCTGCATGGGTTTCTTCCAGGTGCTCGGGTTTCTTCCAGGTGCTCCAGTTTCTTCCCGTCGTCCAAAAATGTACAGTTAAGGTGGATTGGCCATGGTAAATTGCCTGTGGTGTCCAGGGATGTATAGGCTGGGTGGGTTAACCATGGTTAAATGTGGCGTTATGGAGAGCCGAGTCTGGGTGGGATGCTGTTTGGAGGGTCAGTGCAGACTCGATGGGCCAGACTCCTCCTATGATTGATTCTACAGACTAAAAGTAACACAGATCGTAGAAGTTAAACCACAGGCCATAAAAGAACAATCCAGGTTTTTCAATTTTATTTCTAGAAGAATAGCACTGGGGTGGGCAGTGCAGGCGAAATGGTTGTTTAGCAGAGTTTTCCAACTTAGTACTGTGTGCAGTTCTGGTTACCATATTACAAAAAAAGATATAAAGTCACTGAAGTGTGTACAGAGAAGATACACAAAGATGAACTGTATGGGTATACATATCAGGAATGATTGACGAGCTTTCAAAAAGGAAGGTTGAAGGGTCATCTAATGGTGGCCTTAAAATTATAACAGGTTCTCGTAGGGCATTATTTCTGCCTCTATTCTATCTTGGGGGAAGAGCATAAATAGAGATTATCAATATAAGATCGTTACCAAGAAATCCAGTAGAGAATTCAGATGAAACTTATTTACCCAGCAAGTAGTGGAAACGTGGAACTTTTTATCACAATAAGAAGTTGTTGAAGTAAATAGTATAGTTCAATTCAAGGGGAAGCTGGACATGCATATTGAGGTGAAAACAATAGATGAGTACTGTTATACATTTAGATGCGAGGAGATTCAAGTGGACTTATTGGGCTGAATGGCCTATTTATGTGCCATGTCATCTTTGTAATCCAATGGCAAATTGAGCTAACAGCACCCACCATTTATTAATGTGAAAATCGATTTGCAAATTCCAGTGACTGCACAAACGGTTTAAGTGTAAATGAGATGATTGTCCAAGTTGCCCTGCTCCTTCAAAACCTGTGGAATATTGGTTATCTGGTTGATGGCTTGCCAATTCAAGCCAAATCAGTATATCAAGTTTTATACTTACTTGATGCATACCTTCTCGGCTTGCCTGAAATGTTAGAGCTTCTCCATTCCACAAGTACCCTATTAATGCAGGGTAAATCTTGATTGCAACCAAACAACCCCTATAGCACTTAAAATTTAACTGTAGAAGGTTTGGATCTTCAGATTTTAATTATTGAAGATTTTAAAAATAAAAAAATTTCTTTCATATTAACAGTTCTTCAGTCTCCGTTAAGGAGATACATTTCCTTGCATTGTTTCAAACAGGCTTCTGATAGTATGACACAGGTGTTTTCTTGATAGCTGACTGGCAAGAGCTGCCATTTTAAATGCCCATTAAAATATCTATGAACAATTGGAAGTGTCATTTGCCATCAACAGTAATATCCAACCTAGTATTTTTCTCCCTTTTTATAATCAGCACATTTCTTGTGACTTTGATCAATATTTTGCAAGATTCACTTTCAAAAAAAAAGTCGCCATAGTCCCAGAGGACTGTGGGACTAGTCTCTCATTAGAGAAAGTTGATTGGTGGCAGGTTTAACCTGATTCCTCTCACCTTTTGAAGGGTGAGGTTGACAAGGCAGGACCTCCACAGTAGCCTCGGCCAGTGTGGTATCCTAGTATAGGATAAAATTAACCTTTTAAAATTTCATTTTGTAGTACTTGTTTGCTAATTTCAATTAACCCGAAGTTTTTGGTGCAAGGCTTACTTGAAGACTTTTGCATTCACGTTATACCTTTTTTTAGATCATCAAAAATGGCATACTTTTGGTCACCACCAGGAGGAATTAGCAGGGCTGGTTGAGACCAGTGTGCATGATTTGCAACAGGAGAGTGGAGTACAGAAAAGGTAACTATCCTTTTTATGTGCTAGAACTATGCCAACATGGTCTGTACGTGCTACAGGTAATTTCATAACACAAATCTGAATGCATGTCAGGTTGGAGACAGGTCTTTTTTTCCAAAATTAATTTTAAGCTGTAAGAAGTGGGGAGGTACTAAGATGCAAGTTGTACATGCTTCAGTGAAAAATAATGTGAGCAGTATTTATAAGGTTAGTTTGAGAAGTGTTATGTAAAAAGGCATGATATAATCAAGTGTAAAAATGCTTAGATGAATACTAACTTCCATGAGAGCTGGTAGGAACTGCAGATGCTGGAGAATCCGAGACAACAAGGTGCAGGGCTGGATGAACACAGCAGGCCAAGCAGCATCATAGGAGCAGAGAGGCTGACGTTTCGGGCCTAGACCCTTCATCAGAAAAGGGGGAGGGGAAGGGGGTTTTGAAATAAATAGGGAGAGAGTGGGAGGCGGATAGAAGAGGGATAGAGGAGAGGATAGGTGGAGAGGAAACAAACGGGTCGAAGAGGCGGGGATGGAGCCAGGAAAGGTGAGTGTAGGTAGGGAGTTAGGAAGGGGATAGGTCAGTCCAGGGAGGACGGACAGGTCAAGGGGGCG